GGGTTGGGGCGAAGATGACAGAAACCCAGGGCGAGAGAACCTTCCCCCTGGCTTTGGGTGTGGGCAAGGAGAGGCCGACCTCAGCATTTCCATGAGCCTGAAGTGGAGCATCTTGGGGGAGGCTCGTGACCTGGGCCCGTGGGAAGATGTGAGCCGGAGAAGCAGCGGCAGATGAAGAAAAAGCGCTTTTGCTTCTGGTCAGCCTGACCTGAGTGCAGGCGTGATGAGGCCAGGGCCCAGCCCCGGGGGCTCACCTCTGGAAGGCAGCGTGCGCAGGGCTGCTGGTCAGCTGGGGCAGTGCTGGCATCAGTTACACTGACCCCGGCCACACGGCGAATAAAGCTTTCTGCATTGGTGGCAAAAGCCGGTCAGCCGATGCCGGAAGGCGGGGTCAGGGCAGGGCCAGGGCCGGGGGCTGGTCAAGACCACAGACGCACCGTGCACAGACAGGGTGGTGGGAGAGGGAGGGAGTGGGAGGGGAGCGGCCCCTGTGGGGGCAGAACAGGCAGATGCTGGGCACAGGACCACTGGCAGGGCAGGCGGGCCGCCGTGTGAGAGGTGAGACGGGCCAGCAGTTGTGGACACAGCTCGCGCCGTGCGCGCACCTTGTGGTGGTCTAACGCCCAGGTATTTGGTCAGGCCGTCTTCCAGATCCCCTGATGGTTCCGGGGGTTCTCAACAGTCGGCGTCTCAAGCTCGGCCTGTCCGCCACACAGCCTGGCAGCTGGACAGTCGCCTGGAGGCCTTGGCGTGGGCTTCTGGCAGTAGCTTTGCCAGAGGTGGGGCAGGCTGAGACTGGACGTGCGGAAGAAGGTTCGTGAGATGCAGAAGCCAGAGGGGAAAGCCAATCAGAGGCTTCCATCTTGAAGCTGAACTAACTCCAAACCCCCCTTGCTCACTGAGGAGAGGACGCGGGCACCCTGTCATTTCTACAGTTTTCTGAGCTGCTGTTCTGAGTGTTCTTGGAGCATTCGTGCTAAAAGGGAACAGGGATGGGAGATCTGCCATTTCAGCCACACAAAGGACAGAAGTCCTTTTAATTATGACTGTGCCAATCGGGATCTTGCTAAGACAGCTAATTACATGTCAGGAGGACACTCAGTCATTGGGAACAATTGTCATTATATTCTGATAGACTCATTTGCTGCCACCCCGCGGTCACCATGGTTACGATGTGAAGCACTGAGGCAGACCTTCACTGGATCACAGCACACCAACGTGAATTTCAGCATTCACTACGGCTGCGTGGAGCCACTTTTACTGGAAAGTGAGGAAGAACAAGCCTGGGGTCACGGGAGCTGGCGCCCCAGGCCGCCTAGAGGGCGCGAGCGCTCTCAGCCTCCGGCCAGGCAGCGCCGAGCGTCTTGCCGTCTGTCAGGGTGCTGGCTAACGAGCGGGCGGTGTGGGGCTCGTGGAGAACGGCCACGCTCAGGTTCGAGTGGGGATGACTAGGTTTCATTTTGCTCAAATGTCACAGGAAAAGGATTCAAAACGTCACTCAGGGACATGCACACTTGCCGTCCAGGGCCCTGGGCGGCGACAGAAGGGCAGGATGTCAGACCCCGGGTGCCCGAAATGCCCCCCCGCTGCCTTCTCACCTGGATTTCCTCTCTGCTCGGCGGCAGAAGAAAACCAGTGTTACGGAATCAGATCTCTCAGCTCATTCACTCTCTCTTTTGCCGCCCTGCTCAGCCCCAGTAAGACGGACTAATGAACCTGCTAGGAACGTTCTCAATTTGTACATTTCCGGCTTTTGAACACAGAGATTTGCACAAAACTGCCCTCTAGGGCCAGCGAGTCGCCACCTGCCCCAAGGGCCTGCGTCGCATCACAGCACAAGGACTAAGCACAGCCTCTCCACAGTACGTGTGTGAGAGGAGTTTTGTAACTAGGAAACAGCTGCAGACTCGACGTACCGAAAAGCCTTTCCTACCACACCGTGTGGTAGTTCGCACAGACACGGGCATCTCTGCTCTTAAGCGAGAACCATCGTTCGGAAAGAAGGGTGCACGGAGACGACCGCGGAGCTTGACAGCGGCGTGGCTGGGGGAGACCCTTAGGGCGGGCCCTTCACAGCTGCCTCTCGGGGAGCGTCCCTGTTTGCGGGGCGCCCTCGGACGGCAACCCTAGGTTTTACTAGGCCGCGGCTGAGCCTAGGAAAAGAACAGCGTTTTCAGGGCTCACAGCTCAGCCTGCCACCTTCAGCCTGCGGACAGCTGACCCCAAAATCCTGAGTAAACACCCCTGCCACGCAGAGCACACAAAAGGAATGTTACAGGTACGATGCCCCCACCCCGCCCCATCTCCGCCCAAGGACACCGCGCAGAGCCGGTCGGCGGGCCGGCACGCGCGTGGGCTCCTGGCGACCTGGCTCAGTAAGCGCCCAGTGGGTCAGCTGGTCGCGACACGCCCCAGCGAGTACAGTAGTGCGACACACCGTCAGGACACGGCAGACGCGGTCTCTGCCCGACGGGAGGTTTTCGCCACAGAGGTTAACACAGAAGCAATGCACAACGGAGGGGTGAGCAGGGGTCAATGCCGAGCACTGCGAGCATGGGACGAGTTATTGCCTAAGAATCTTGAGACTCAAGGGGCGGGGGGGGGGACGGACACTCTGATTGTTCTCTGAACAAAAGGACAAAAAGCAACATGAAAAGGCAGAGCCGCGAGCGGGAAGACTGCTTCTACCCAAACCCTTCTTGAGACCTAAGAGGGAGTAAGGACTTGAAGTTCACATTTTTAGGACGGGCTGGGGCCATCACGGGAAGGGGGTGATTTCCACAGCTCAGGTAGCTGCTGAGAAGACGGGCAACAGGCAGGAAGGAGTGTCCAGGTGAGGAGGTGAACCCCACCACCGACTCTGCCCCATGTGGAAAGGGAGCTGTCCCAGCGAAGACGTCAGCTCGAGACCTCAGGCTTTGATCTGGAGCCCAGAGGAAACGTAAGAGGAACTGGTCACCGACGGAGAGCTGGTGACCGGAGAGACTGATGAGAGTCGACTCCGGTGCCTGATGGTTGGAACCAAAAGGGGCAGGTGTGAGGCCCGAGCCCATACGCGAAGGCCTGAGACCACTGCGGCAGCCAACCCCTCAGAGCTGTTCCCTTTGAGGCAAGAGCACAGCCAGCCCTCCAGGCCCTGCGAGGCACCGGCCACACCGCCTGCCCCCTCTCCGCAGGCGCTGGAGCGCTGGGTCGTGTGGTTGCCTCTGCTCACTGGAGGGAAAAGTAACCTTCAGGGGATTTTCCTGTCCCGGGGCCACTCTTCCTGTGAGGGAAAAGGGGCCTGTCTGGGGGATGCGGCAGTCCGGGGATGACAGCAGGAGCCGCCAGAGCTCGCAGGCCAGAGGGTAACTACTCAGCACAGCTGAGAGGATGGCACTGGTCACGAGCACGCCCGACAGCCTCTAGCACCACCAGATGCCTGTCTGGGACTGCCTGGCACCACGTCTCAGGTAAGGATGTGAGAGCACCGCCCTCCCCAACCTTTGTCTCTTGTGGGGTTCGCAACGACAGGCAAACGTCATGGCGGGAGAAGGGTGCCCTGGAAGGCTGGCTTGGACGTACGCTGACTGCTAGCGTGACCGCAGTAACTCTGACAGGAAAGTCACATGAACTTGCTGGCCAGGTTCTCCCACCTGCTGTTACTCCCCTTTACCTAGGAAGGTGCAGCCCCCAAACAACCCCTTGGGACCTGAACAAAGTACAGTAGTGAGAGAAAAGGACAGACTCACCAAAGAGCGGGAAATGGGATTTTGTTTTAAAGGAGACTGGTAGCTTGCGAGAGGCCAGTGTAAGGTTCTATTTTAATACCACCTGAAAGTTTTAGAAGAACATCTCCCGCCCAAAGATACCACATCAGACAGTGGTGGCTCCAGGTGCCACCCCAGGAGTTAAGGTGGGCTGCAGAGTCAAGCCTGCCCCCGACACACACCACAAAAAAAAAAAAAAAAAAGTCATCAGTAGATTTAAATCTGGGCCCCAAAGAAGTAGATTTTTTCTGGTGAGAAAGCAAGTTCTCTGTAGGAAAACGGGCTCCCGGGCAGGCCAGCAGACTCTCCTTCTAAGCGGCCGGGGGTGCAGACCCTCCTCTGGGTCCTGCCGCCCAGCGGGTGCTGTCCAGCCCCCGGCTGCCAGGGGAGGCTGGGGCGGCCTTCACGGACACCCGCTTTCCTCTGGTCTCTGCAGCCTTTCTCCTTCCTGCAGGTCTCGGCTCTGGCCTGGCAATCCTTCTTTAGAAACCACAGCTGCCTTCACAGTCTGAGTCTGTTTCTTTAAAAAGCCCAGCAAGACCAACAACACGCACAGCCCCAGCCGTGAGGAGCCATCCTTACGATAATCTCCTTACGGCAAAGCGTGGATGTGGCTGTCACACAGTGTATTTCGCGCTCTCTCTATTCTTTCTGACTTGACAGAATAAGCAGACAAAATTCCACTGAAAGGCAAAGACATCTTTCTTCTACGCAATTTAAAAGAAAGCGAACACAACCTGCTAACTGAAATAAGAAGTCAAACACACCAAGGAGGAAGATGAGCAGGGAGGATCATTCCTGAGAATAACAAATGCTCCTCTTGAATTGTTGTTCAAGTAATACGGTAAATCAGAAGAGGCGCCTCCGCCGGGCTGTCTCGGAAGCTGGAAGAAGTGTGTGTCCCCTGAAAGCCACGGACACGAGCAGACCCTGGCCCTGCCCCGCGCCTCAGAGCAACAGACCCAGCAGGTGCGCGGGGACGGCCGCTCGCTGCTGGTCGCTGGCCGGCGGGGACCGCATCGCTGCGGGTGAGGAAGGGGAAGGAGCTGGCCGGCCAGTCTCTCTCACACCAGTGGTTTTAGACACGGGGTGGGGGGAGGGGTGGAGAGGCGAGGAAATGGCACCTCACCGCTCTCAGAGACGCCTGCAGAGATGCCTGCAGGTGCGGACTTGCAGATGAGCCCTGCAGCCAGCTGCCCCCCTCTAACTAGGCTCCACCCCGTGCAGGGAAAGGGCCGCCGCGCCCCCCAGACACACCGGGGCGTGGCACCGAGGCGGCTTCCTCCCCACAGTGACAGCGCCGTCTGATCGGTGCCAAGAGATCATCTCATACAAGGCCAGCAGATGTCTTTTTTTTGACGCATGAACAGTTAGTTCTTCATTTTGCTATTAGATGACAAGGTGATCACAGGGCGACTTTATAACGCAAGTTCACTGTTTGGTATTTTTGAGTTCTCAAAATGAAAAAACGATTTATCAAATATAAATATTTTTAAAAAGTAACAAAAGTGCTACATGTGATCAAGGAAAAAAATTCCATTAGTTACTGCCGCTTAAAGTAGATTAAACTTTACAAATATTACCACATCCATTATCAATATGGCTTCCAATTATTAAATAAATTGCCTGTAGCAGAATCACTTTTCACACCTCTACAAGGACACAGTAAAGAGACACCCAAGCAGTCTCGTCCCACCGCGTCTGCTGAGCCACCACGGGGCGGCGGCGTCCCCTGCTGTTCCTGCTCCTGCCAGGCAAGTGTCTGCGTCCGCGACAGTCAGCGCAACCCCCACCACGACCGCACCAGCCGCTCCTAGTGAGGGCTTCAGCTACTGGACACAGAGACCGGAAGTTCATTCACACACTTTGACCTTAACTCCATCCTTGAAAGACTTTTTGGTAGCAGGGGGAGGGGACACAGCGGGACGCAAAGCCACTTCCGTGGGGGCCCTGCGCGCCGGACTCGGCGCCTGTGAGACGTTCAGCCCAGGCTTTTCCCAAAGCTCGCAAGCTGGGTTTTGTTTCTATTATGACTTTTGTTTCTTGTCGTTTCGTTTTAATCATGGTCCCAAAGGCAGAAGGCAGTATTTTATGGGCTAGGTCACACAGCTCGCGAGAGGAAAGAAGTCTGTGCCGGGCGTGTGGTGTCAACCCCAGGCTGCGACCGCGCGTTTCCTCGGACACGCTCAGGCCAGCACCCAGAGCAGCGGAATCTAGCCACAGCGTGGCGGAGAGGAGGCACGGCTTATTGCGCTGGGCACAGACCCTTCCCAGCCGAGCGGGCCCTAGTGTCCTTTACTCGGGACACCCGGTGTCTGTCGGTCCCGGCTGCGCCACCTCAGCTTGCATCCTGTCGTTCTCGGGGAAGAACAAGGGGTTCCTGACTAGTGTTACGGGGTCTACAGGCACCCAAGGTCTACGCGTAGCCTAACACTCGAGGACTGAGGGCGATCTAAATACCTGGGAGCACTTCTTGGAATGCTAAGACAGAGCAGCAAGATTTTCTAGCCTCGGGGGCCGGAGAGGGAAGTTGGTTGGTTGGTTATTATTTACTGGGAATTAATACTGAGAGAGTATATGCAAAGGCTGAGGGCACCATGCCATCTTCACAGAACAAGACCCTAACGGCTAACTGACATACAAGAAACTGCAAGTTATACTGTAAGAACACATGTGAAGGACCGAGGAAAGTCTGCTAAGGTGCTACGTCTACACTAAGTTAACTGCTCGTGTCACCTCCCTGATCAGTCGTCTTCCAGGGCCTCTGTCTTGATCTCGTTGGCTCCCTGTCGGGCCAATGCCAAGATAGTGTGGTTGACGGCCGCCATTTCCACAGCCAGTGAGATGGGGTCCTGGTGGTCACTATGGCTAGTGCTGTCATCCTAGATGTGCAGAAGGAAGAGACAGGTGTTATCCGTGGGCTGGCGAGGCTCTCCAACTCACAGAGAGGCATGCTGGGGCGAGGGAGGTGCCGCGTCCGTGGGAGGAAGCAGTGGGGTGGGCTTGGGGCAGAGTAGAGGTGAAATGTATTTAAGTAGACACTGAATGGATACAGGGCCAGAGACTTCCGCTTGGCAGTTCTATGACTCAACAAGTAAAAGGCACGAAAAATGGCTTTTTATTTGCTTTTTGTTGCGCCTTTCTCCCCTCCATCAGAAAGACTGCTGGTGGCGATGATCAAACCTGGGTTCTTTTAGGTTTGCCCCCCAAAAGCCCACTGAGCTCTGCAACAGTGCACTATGGAATTCTGGATTGGCACATTTATAAAGAGTCGGTCAGAATTCAAGGAGGCACTCCGCTGGGCTCGGAAAACTAGATAAAATCAACATCTTACAGATAAACTTTTTTTTATAAAAAACTGAGCAAAGACCTTTGCACGACATCAACCCAGAGCTGGGCTGTGACTGGTGGGAGCGGCTCTGCAGCCAAGTGACCGCCCTCCTGCCCGCGGGGAAGGGGCGCGGTGTCTCACCCAGAGGCGCGCACACCCCCGCAGGCTCGGCTCCAGGTGTGAGCAGTAAAGCTGCGAAGAAGCCGGCCGTGCTGGCGCTGAGGCCACAAAGCAGGGTAAGCTGCTCACCTGTCACGCCTTCAGGCGAGCACTGCCTCAAAAATCTTAAAAAAAGCTCTGGAATGGTCAGTCCCCTTGGGGAAAAAGCATGGAATGCGCTGCCCTTGGGGCATCTGGGAAAAAAGACAGAAATGACCCACCTCCATGGGGGACTGAAAAGTAACAGGGCCATCTCAAACTGGAAAGACTCACAGACCCTTTCCAGGGAACGTGGAGCGCCGGCCCGGAGCGTGCGGGAAGCCCGGGCAGTGCAGCGTCACTGTGTCAATTCTCATTCTGCACACACTGTCCTTACAGAGTCTTAGAAAGGACGGTGCCGCGGGGCTCCTGCAGTGTCTGCGCGGGCCGGGAGGGGCCGGGAGGGGGCCGGCGGCCGTGCAGGAACAGCGGGCTGAATGTGAGAGCTGGCTGGGGCCAGGAGAAGGTGCGGCACCACAGGCAAAAGAACAAGCCTTCCTGCAGCAGTCTTTGCCCCATCAACTAGTGAAGTGAGTTTTAAACGTGCCTGAAATGTGAACCAACACTACCAAGGCGTGGAGACAGAGCCCCACACTCGCGCTCAGTCCATCCAGGGGCTACAATTAAATATATTTTCCCCCCAAGCAATGAAGAGGCGGTCGGAGGGCGCAAGGAGACATGCATCATGAGAGGACGTGTGTGTCGCGTGCCAGAGACGCTGGAGCACCGCCGGCCCGGGCTCAGGGCTCCCGGCCACAGCGGGCGGCCTGCCCGGCGCGGCATGGACACGCTGGGCGGGGCCGGCCCGCAGCCCTAGCATTTCTCAGACACTGAGTGTGTGCGTGGTGAATGGTGTAACTTGCTTGTTTGGGTCAGATCCTTCTCTCTTCTTCTACCTTCTCTGCTTCTCTGCCTCCCTCTGAACTTCTTCCCTCCTCCTCCTCCCCATTGCGTACTTGCCAAGTATCCTGTTGTATGACAATAAATCCAGGCGGGTGAGTAGCGATTTCTCACAAATTCAACAGGACAACTGAATCTTACCACATTCCTTTCAATTACATGACAATCTAACTAGACACATGAGCAGAGTGGAGGGACGTCAGACGGCCTCCCCTCCCCCACCCTGCACGACACGCACCCACAGAAGGGGCCGCTGCACTGTCCCCCTCAGTCACCCGGCTGGGCTCGGCTGCGCACCTGCTCTGAGTAGTCGTTGCCATCGACGTCATCGCTGTTGGAGTGGCCTCCCGGACTCTGTACGTCTATCCCATGACTCTCCAGGATTGCTGCTTCTTCGAAAAAAGCAAATAGATCCCTAAATTATGTGCTACATTGTCATAATGGCTGAGACCGAATGAATACTGGCGTTGAGGAATCCAGAATGTAATCAAACGGAAACGGAGGCTGCGCGTGCTGCTCTCACTAACGCAGCGGGTGCCCTGGCGGGGGGCTGCACCGGCCCCGCGCTCCTGGGCGCGGCTGCGCCTGGGCGGCTGCCTGGCACCTCATAAATACTCACCCACTCGTCAACCAGCCCTGCTGTCTCCGGGCTCTAGAAAGTGTTCAGAATTGGAGTGCGGAACAGCAAGTATGCTTACAAACCAAACACAACTTTAGAAGCTCAAAACAAGCCCCTACCCCACTCACTTCTATTCCCACTTCTTACACGTTTTTAAAACTCTCTGCTTTTTGTGTGTGCTGTCTGTCAAGACCTTCTCATTCCCTGTTTGTTAGTCAGAGGTTTCTTAATACCTAAGTCTTCGCCCAGTGATAACAAAGCAGCTGAGGACAGCACAGCCCTCTTCTCTGGGACCTTCCATGCAGCTTAACTACGCACGCCCGGAACAGTGGGTTGGGGCATGCGTCGTTTTATATGCTAGGGTATGACGAACAATGAGCTTCAGAAATAATGACGTCATTGTTAGTACTGTGCAAGCGGGTAAACAATTCTGCCTCTGGGTCACTGAAATCATACACACAGGGGTGGCTCTCACTGGGTCAGGCCCTGAGACCGACAGTTCTAAACCGAAGCCCCCTCACATGGAGCGCGCCAGCGAGATGCACTTGGGCAGAGAAAGCAGCGTGTCTGCTACATTACCGATATTGGCTCTCCTCTTGATCTCCTTCCGCCTGTTAGCAAACCAATTATACACTTTCAGGGAGGTTACTCGTTCCAGGTCTGACAGCTTTTTGCCTGTGAATGCATGAATAAAATTCAGATCATGTATCTAAAGAATAATGCTTTTCTTTCTTTGAAGTACTTTTGTCTTCGCTACCAGAGCAGCTGTTCTAGGGGGTTATTATTATTTCTTTTTAGCATTAACTAGCAATGCACACACTCAATTTATTAAACACAGAAATGAATATACAAATGGCAACTAGTAACAGAATTCTCTTCAATTCAGACAGCCACGCTGTTTAGCAGGACTTGCAACACTGGCGCTCGCTAGGACTTCTGATCTCATCAGCCATCTCCGGCTCAAAGTCCCAGGCGGCTTCCTTTAATTAGCATCATTTGAGATGAATGTGTGATTCTTTCTCAGTTTCCAGACAGCTGAAACTTGTATGCTTACGTTCACGTGTATTTTTAAGGCTCCGTGTTAACCAGTCTGTGTGGCCTCGAGACGGGTATCCCCAGGCTCTGGGACTCCGGGCAACCTTCTACTTCGCTGAAAACTGACCTCATGTGGAGAGCGCCAGCCTTGCCAGCCAGGGGCCCTGAGTCATGCCTACCCGCCCCCGTCCTAATACTGTGCCAGCTTTTTATCCAGGGGCTGGAGAGGCAGGGGAGGCCTTGGCGACGGAGGGCTGATGTGTCTCTGGGGAAGAGTCGAGTTCCTCTACAGTTTTAGGACTGGGCTTTGGCTTATGTGAAGTAAGGATTTAGATTTTTCATGGAAGTGTTGTTGGGGTTGAGTGTTCAAAATTGCTAGAATTCTAGCTTCTAGCAAAGGGAGAACAAACTACCATTTGTTATAAAAATATTAATGTCTAAGCCAGTTATACCGACTGGCCAAGTGGGGGCTGACTGGGTCATCTGATCTGAGAGTCGGCTGGTAACAAAACCGCAGTGTGAGATAGCATTTCAGCAGAGTCGAAAAGACAGGTTAACCAGCTCTGGTGACCTGCATTAGAACAACAGGAGTTCAAAGTGGAACCAAGCAGAAGTCAGCCCTGTGTGGTAAGGAGATAGAAGTCAACTCCAAAAAAATTTGCTTTCCCCAAGCAGGAATACAGAATTCACAACTGTATAAAAACAAACAAACAAAAAAACCCTCTCAATCTGTTTATTAACAAGCTTGCTTTTATATATTCCAAACTTTATTTTGGAGTTGATATATTTATGCTACAGTTTTGGTCAGTGAAATCCATACAGCCTTTGAAAAGTCGCTTACGCCAGGTCACCCCCGGAGCTCTCCCGGGGAATGATTTGGAGACTCCTGCTGCCTTACAAGTGTGGCGGCCACAGGGCAGTGACACCCTGCAGGAGCGTGGACTGAGGAGCTGAGAGCGGCTGGCTCGGGTGGGTAAAGGAGGCTCCGTCCTCAGTCCTGGTCTGGAGCTGAGGGTGCCACGACAGGCGGGGGTGGCTGCCTCACCTGGCTTCTGTATGACCGCGTTGCAAGCGTTTGCAATTTCTTCTCTCTTTGCTTCATCTGGGTATTGATTCTCATTGAAGTAACTGCAGAGACAATCAATTAAGATACAAAGTTTGCACTTTTTAAAAAATGCTCTCATCAATACCTTGTCCACTGAAAAGTATGTGCATTGGAAGTAACACTAGTCCAGGCACCGTGAGGAAGGAAATGGTCTCTCTGTGGTCCAATACGGTGGCCACCGCTCACCGTGCTGTGACACTTGAAACAAAGCTGTGTGACTAAGGAGGGGAATTTTAACTCGATACATAATTTTAGTGAGCTGAAGTTCAAGCGGCTACAGCATGGCTGTAGTCACTGCCGTGAGGCGTCAGAGATGTCCTCACAGTCATCTGTGACAGGGCTGGCCGGCTGTAGGCCTGTCACCAAGGCAGTGGAAGGAGTAACAGGACTTTTTGGCTGTCATATTGCTTATCGCAGTAGAAATTGAAAATCACCCAACTGTCCATCCATGGGAGGACAGCAGAACATCCGGGACATCTATGTTTACGCCCAACTACTTAGAAGTGCCTCGGAATCCAAGTTAGAGCTCTCTCCACACTGACCTGGAGGGATGTTTATGATGTATTTCTAAATGAGAAAAACAATCTTCAGAATAACGAGCATGTAAAACTACAATTACAGAATTTGAAAAGTTCCTGACTCAGTCCATAAATCTGTGTGGGTCCAAGCGGAACGGGTGCCTGTCAGGTTGTAAGTACTGATTACTTAATTGTGGGGCGTCCAGGGAAAGGAGAGCAAACGTCTTCTCCTTCTTTGCCTTTTCCCATGTTCGAAGAAGCTACATTGCTTCAGTGTAACAGGGCGCAGGACGCCCACTCTGGCCAAGCACCCTCACATCCTGACACCACGTGGAACAGAGAACTTACTAGTGCTGCTTTTTCTGTCATCTGTGAGTTATTAAAACAAAACAAAAAAACACAACAACTCCCACCCTGGAAACTGATGACAGGAAGGATCCCTGTGAAGTGCTGGCCGGGCTACTTCTCCGAGGCGCTCGAACGCGCGTGACCTCCCAGCACCCCTCCCGCGGCACTGTGCGGACGGCAAGAAGCGGCAGCCCTGCCTCCTCACGGAGCCACAGCGGTCCTCCATGCCCTCCGTGGTGGGCCCCGCTGCCGTCTGCCCATAGCTGCCTCGGTGGCCAGCCTGGCCCGTCCCACCACCGACCTCCCAGGCTTGCCAAGCCCCACCCTTCACGTGATAGACACCTGCTTTGCCCCTCTCTTCAGCACCTTGCCGCCCATGGGCTTCTGCTCCTATCGCCTAGGGGGCCAGTGTTCAGACTGTGGACTTTTCCAGAATGCTCCACTCCCACAGGGCTACCGGCCTTTCTCTTTACTCTACTTCAGCCGTTCACTCAGGCCTTGGACTTTCGGTTGGTGTCATGAATCAAGTAACAGTGGCATCACCGGGAACTATTCAATGGCAAAGCCCCAGACCCACCAAACTACACCAGAACCTGAATTTTAACAAGATCTAAGGATGACCTGCAAGCACATCAGCCTTTGAGAAGCACTGGGCTAGTTCATTCACTTACAATTCAGCCACGAAGTCCACAAAAGCAGGTAGTAAGTAACTGATAGGCGAGCAGACCCAGACCAGACACAGACAATTCTGGTTTCCAGCCACTTACGGCCCGCAGCTGGAGCGCACGCCTGCCAGACACACAGAAACCTGCACCCTCGGAAAGCCCGAGGGAGGCGTGGGCGGGGAACTGTGGGATGCGTCTGAGGATGCGTCGCCTCGGGAGCTGGGGCACCAGGACCACCCGGCGGAGGCAAGGACGGCACTCACGCCAGGGAGTGGCACATGCAGGGGCAGCACAGAGAGAAAAGGGCGGCATGGCTGGCACCGAGGGCCACAGGCGGACCGGGAGGCGGGCCAGGCGCCCAGTAGTGGCACGTGCGTGCTTCGTAGGCGGTCGTGGAGACTTCAGCTTGAAATCGAGGTTTTCAAGCCACAAAGGGAACAGGTTTTTGCGCCAGCCTTCAGAAGGCTATCTCCATGACCGCAAATTCTGAGATTCCCCAACCAACTTTCCACTTACCCACTCCTCCTCTTCAAAGTAATTTGTTCTTCACCTTCTTTATAATCTCGAATCTTTCAGCCCTCCCCGACAACATTAACATTTGCTCTCTGACTACTCTTCTTTGGCCTCACCTCTCTTGTCTTGGCTGAACTCCATGCTGACCCAAATCAACAATGTCCCTTCCAAGACATAGGATTGTTTAGCTTCCTGGCCCTCACTCTACCTGTCCATTCGACCTTCTTCCCTGCAAAAAGCCTCATTTTCTTCCATCCTTTTACATAAAGCAAGTGTTCGTGGACAAAGTCAAAAGAAGGCCAGACGGTCGCTTTACTAAACCTGTGCTTTCAAGTTTGGCTGGGCCCCTCGTTTCTGAAAGGGATTCTCTGAGTTTCTTCTAATCATCTCTAGTACTCCAACTCTCCCAACTCCACTGACCTGAAGCCCTCAAACAGCCACCGTCACTCCTCCTGCAGGTGACCTTGCCTCCTCTTCCGCTGCAGGCTATTTAATATGCTTGCATGATTTGTTTAGCTTTTCATCTTGGAAACTGCTGCTGTATCATTCACCCATTTATTCATCTGGGAGAGGAAGGTCGGTCTGCACTTCAAGGTCAACCCCACGTGTCTCTGATTCCATCACGTTTCATCTTCTTTTCTCTCTTCCTTGTACAGCCAATTTTCTCCCTGTACCCATACGATTACTTTATTTTACTGATTCTTGTGATACACATTTCTTCATAATCACAATCTCTAGGACAGGATACATCTCACAACTCTTGGTGTCTGCAAATTACTGAGGGTGTCCCATCCTCACTGGTACATGATATAAAGATGCATCTTCACTTAAGCCCGAGGTGAGGAGGAGTGTGGTGCTGAATTCAGCAAAGCCCTGTGGCCACTACACTTCACCGTGCGACTCTTCTCCCACGTTACTGCAAGCCCGCACAGATGTGCCCACAACTTCTGCCCATGTCTTGGTATTTATTCCTAATGCAGACCCCCAGCCATGTCTCATCCAAAAATGTTCAAGTTTGTTATGAGTTCAGACTTCTCACCCAAACCTCAGCTGCCTTTGTCTGTTGCTCCTCCCAGCCATGTGGCTGCAGCCCAGGGCAGTGGGGTGACCTTGGAGTCACCTGTATGCTCCAGAGCCTCTGGCCCGCACCTCTGCTTCTGTCCTCTCCACCAAGAGTCTGTCTTTCGGATTAGAGCTCAGAGACTGCCTGTCGGCCAGCTGAAGGATGAGATCACCCACAACGCTTTCCTGCTTGCTGATACTTTAGACACAGACGAAGGTCAGAGTAGAAATACTAGTACGTATTAAAATCAAAAGCTCAGGCATGTAAGAATTTCATTCATACCAGCTATAAATCTCTAACAATCCTTCCCTTCCGTTAAAGACTGAATATTCTTATAATTAAGACATGTATGCCCAGTGAAAATATTTTTATTAAAATGTGCTACCATACCTAAGATCTGCACACTGTCCCGCTTTCCTGTTTTTCTTTTTCAATGCGGAAAACAGTAACTCCTGACACAGTCCACAATCTAAACAGACCCTAAATTTAAGGTGCTCCATGGGAAATATTTATGATTAAAAGGGTTATAAATAAAAATTTTCATGGCAAAGCCACCTAAGGCTTTATTCAGGGGCCTGGGATACAGACAAAATACTGACATAGGGAGGAAGAGTATTTGGGCAAGACAAAGGTGGGCTATTTGTGGAAATCACGTAGCCAAGAGGGCGGTGTCCCATGTTACGAGTAAAGCACTATCTTGAGGAGGAGATTAAGTTCAAAATATGGGCCCTGACCTTAAGAACACACTTCAGTTTAGGGAGAAGAAAAAGTAAGAAGCCAAACAGTTCTGTCAGTGTGACAGGTCAGAAAGTCCGGCTGCTGGCTCAGTGCGTAAATGATCTGCTAAATAAATCCGGTGAGAACGCCCAGGGCTAGGCTGACGGGAGCTCACCCAACCGGGAAGGGCGACGCCCACGGCAAACACAGCACGGCACAGGCCCTGACATGCACTTGGGAAGCAGAAGGCAACTGGTCCCCGCAGCCTGCTCAGGCCCCAGGGACAGGGCACCCACACGGCCGGCTGCCCAGGGTGCGGTTATCTTGGACTGTATCAACAAATCCTTTTTCATTCCTCCTAACCACCCCACTTTAGATACTAAGTTATATGGTCACCCTAGCACCTCATTATATCACTGATGTATCTGAATTTAATGTCAACTAAAATCCTCCAAGTCTTCTGCATGTGGTCTGCGAAAAGTATGGTAATTGCTGAGGAAATAGAAGGGTCAGCAATGCCGAGTAGTTTCCGTGACGAGACGCACACAGGGAGCCATGCGAGCCCAAGGGATGTGCTGGACAGCAGCCATCTGGCGGTAACCATCAGGGGCTGGCAGGCTAAGGAACGTAGGAAGGGTCATAAGCAGAAGCAGAAATTAATGTTAGAGACACAGAAAACAGTGGCTTAGTGAATCCCGTGGCAAAGTTAGGGTGACCGCCTGCAGGAGAACGGTGGCGGGGCCCTGCCTGCTGCCACTGTCTTCTCCAGGTCAGGAGGGGGCTGACTAAGACACAGCTGAATGCAAGTACGCCAGCCTCATTTCAGCTGCGAGTAAATGGAAGGAGCACACGCACAGGCATGTGAGCGGCGACGCCGGGCCACAGGTCTCGTGACTCTGACCTGAGGTATCACTGAACATTTATGAAATCACCAAAAACGCTGATAAAGTTCTAGCAGTAGTTTGGCCACATGTGGCAAAGATGAACAGACAAGCTTCTGGGTAAAGCCACTGGGGGGCACAGATGCGATGAAACACTGCAGAAGGCGGTGGGATGGGCGAGCTGGTGGGAGGACCACGTGTGCAGGGTGATGCAGCAGCAAGGGCATCCAGATCAGGGCGAAGGTGACGTGACTGTGTGGGGTGCATGGAAGCCCCCGTGTCCAGACAGGTTTTAAGTGTTCGGAGAAGGGGAAAGAA